GCAGTGCTGTAGAATTTGAAGAGGCACGAATGGAGGGCAAAAGAGAGAAATGTGCCAAGAAGAAGGTGCATCAAGCCAACCCCGACCAGGACCGCCTTCCACCTGGACACCGATGCCCTCACTGTGGGAGAAGATGCAGGTCAAGAAGAGGGCTCCACAGTCACTTACGGACCCACCAGTACACTGATCCTGGAAGACTATCCTCTCGGACAATGAAGGGTCACCTAAGTAAGTAAGTGCAGGTTGGTTCATCAGGTGTTCTGCTATGGCTGACTTCTTTGGTTGTGTTTTCTGCTTCCTCCAAGGTGGGGGTCTGATCATCAAGATCTTGAAGCGCACTGCCACGTTCAGCAAAGGTGATGCGGCGGTCGGAGCCCCTGTCGCGCAGAGCATCAAGCTCAACGTGCCAAAGAAAACGAAACTTTATGTGGACCAGACACTGCGAGAGCGAGAGAGCGGAGTGGGTGAGTTGACAAAGACATGACCATCGAAGAAATTGCAGGCAAAGCCCGTGCTCCTCCATGGAGTTGCACAGCCTCACTTCTGTATGCAGAGGCTGTTTCAATGGTGGGAGATGGGGAAAGGCCTTCTCTTTCCTTTCTCTGTTCTTCCATTTACTTCTTTCCTTGCTCAGCCATGCACCAGGTGTTCCAGACTGACCTGAGCCGCATCCGTCTCATGGCGGCAAGGGCCTACGTCCGGGCGCTGGAGTGCAGCATGACACCTGTCTCGGAGTCCCTGCAGGAGCCGCTCAAGATGAATGCCGTGGTGAGGAGAAAGAAAGGGGCGTTAAGAATTGGGAACAGACCCCCACATTCACAGAGTGAAGAGAGAGGGGGCTACAGTTGAAGACAGTTCCATCTTGTCTCGTGTGCTTTAGTAATAATATAATATAATATATAGTATATACATATAATGTATTGTCGAAGGCTTTCATGGCCAGAATCACTGGGTTGTTGTAGGTTTTTTCGGGCTGTATGGCCATGGTCTAGAGGCATTCTCTCCTAACGTTTCTCCTGCATCTATGGCAAGCATCCTCAGAGGATTCTTGCCATAGATGCAGGCGAAATGTCAGGAAAGAATGCCTCTAGACCATGGCCATACAGCCCGAAAAAACCTACAACAACCCATATACATATAATTTTTATAATATTATAATGTAATACAATATAATGTTAATACAATATTATAATCATGTATTTTATATTACATGTAATATAATATATTGTATATAATATAATATTTATAATGTAATACAATATAATACTAATACAATATTATAATCATATATTTTATATTACATGTAATATAATATAATATATTGTATATACATATAATATTTATAATAATATGTAATACAATATAATACTAATACAATATTATAATCATGTATTTTATATATAATATTATAATGTAATACAATTAATACTAATAATAATACAATATTATAATCATATACTTTATATTACATGTAATATTACTAATAATA